ATTTAAAAGCTTTCTAAAATAAAAAAAAGTTTTTATTGCAAGAACTTGTATAATAAATAAAGTATCTCAAAATTCATTGATCTACATGATAAAAAGGTAAAATAATACTTCAAAATATTTTTATATAATTCAAAAACTAAAAATTTCTATATAATTAAGTTTTAATCATAAAATGAGAGCTGATTTTTGTAATGATTTCAATCAGTAAATGATAAATATTTTTCTAAAAAAACAATCATGAAAGTATGTCGAGTATAAAATAACTGTAGTAATATCAATGAATAGCGATAAAGAATCTCTCAAAACTTAAACTTTGCACTAATTTTAGGTATTCAAAATCTATATTGAGGAGTCAAAAGCAGTTTTTTGTTAGGTTTTCTCTCAACGAATAAATGAAATTCTAATGAGTTTTGAATGCTTGAATTTATATCCGGTACCTTGAAATATCTTTCCTATAGATTTGTTCTTTTTGTAACATCAAAAATTTGATGGATTTCAAGAGCTCGATGTTCATATGGAAGAAGTAGAAATCTTCTCTTTCAAATTTCCAACGACTCATAGCTCCTACTATCGTATGTTATTTAAGGTCTAATTCGATCAGTTCGAAAGAATATATGAGAAAAATAGTCGAAACTTCTTTGTAAAAACTAACGAATCTTCAAGAAAAATTCACTTGTGGAAATTCCTATTTCATATTCAATGTCGCACAACATTTTCAATGTTTAATTCATTATTGTTGGATTTTCATTATAATCTGATGGTCGAATCAAGGGAAATATTATTTAATTTCCCTTTACTTTTGTTCTATTTTATTCAAATTATTCTCCGATCAATAAAACTTCAAGAATATATTCTTTATTATTTTTTTCTTTCCATTGGATTTAGATAATAAATTGTCTTTTTCGGTTTTTTTTTCAATATTTCATAGTCGAAATTCAACATGTACTTAGTATATGATACGCAACTGTTCTTATCTACTTTTAACGAAGTCGAACAATACTTAGTTCGGCTATTTGAAGAAAATAAATCGTTCTTTCATAGAAATAAATTCTTTTATTTGATTGAGCGTTGTCGGAAAAAGAAAGACAGCTCATCAAAAACCATTCTTAACATTTCTTATGCATTTGAATGGATACTGAATTTTTGTAGTCGATGATTTCCATAATCGACAACATAGAGATTGCCGCGCCGGTCGAATGACAAACTGACGGGTCCATTGAGTTGGTTTGATTGTCCTCCACTACAGTTTCCACCAACAATGCCACTTCCTTGTGTGGCTCCTTTAGGCCAACGCATGATTCGATCATTCCCTAGATCAGCCACATAGACAGTGCCCAATTGATCAACAACGACTCCTTGAAAAGATGACAATTGTGTAAGATCATTTCCTTGTCCTTGACCACCTGCCACGATAATGCCTTCTTTTCCACCTTCCATCCATTTCATCACACGATGATTTATCTCATCAGATACGTACGCTGAATGATCTCGATCGACGAATACGTATGAGGGGTAAGAGAGTTGATCGAGACGATTTCCACTTCCATTGCCACCTGCAACCACTGTTCCTTGAGATTCTCCTCTTCGATATCGTCTCACTTCATGTTTTCCAACATCAGTGACATAGAGAGATCCATTCTCGTCCATTGTCAAACCCCTACAATAGATGTTGGAGATGATTGTTTCTCCACTTGTCCCATTTCGACGAGGCCATCGAACCACTGTTCCATTCCAATAATCGCATATGATGAGACTATCTCTCTCTTTGTCGATAATCACATCATATGGGTTATCCAATTGATGATCTCCACTTCCTTGTCCATTTCCACCGGCAACCACTTGGCCACTTGTTGCACCTCGTTTCCATTCCACAATACGGTGATTTGATTGATCAGCAACATAGATTGTTTGATCATCATCAACATACAAACCCAATGGGTCTGAGAGTTGATTGATTTCATTGCCTTGTCGATTTCCTCCAGTCACAGTGATACCATTTTGTTGCCATCGAGCATTCGGATGAATGTTGGTGCTGGATGGAGAACGTAAGGGATAGTCTAAAATAGACACAAGAAAAATTATAAGTTAAGAGAGAGAAGGTTTCTCTTCATAGAAATCGAAATTGCTGCAAGACGAGAAATGCTTTATAATCGAACTCTCAACTTTCTCAACAACGATGGTTTTGTTTTAGAATATTGTGTGGAATTCAAAGTCATTCATTGCAATTTTATCGGACAACTATACATTATTCCTTTATTTTGCTCTCAAATTCAATCTTTTAAATTGTTATATCCGAATTCAAATTCATAAGATTCTTACACAAACGACTATTTCCCAACGTTGCCAATGTCTTTCGTGGGCAGCAACTATAATGAATTAGAGAATGATCGTTATGGTTAACTTTCAACCAGAGTAAGAAAAGAGATTTTTGTCGTTGAAAACTGAATAATCGTGTTAGACAAGGACCAGTTCTATGCAGATCGTTGAACAATAATTGTACCAAACTACTCCTCATTTACAAATCAAATGTTAGACATCATTGCTGTATTTTGTTCATCAATTACTTTTAGTTCACGATGTTAGGTATTTTAAAAAGTATCTATTGATGATAATATTGATATT